GTTCATGATTTTGGCGTGATAGTCCAAATTCCAAAATATTTTGCAACTTTTCTACAAGGCTTTTTATATGTTTGACACCTTACAGAGATAGATAAGTCATACTGCTCAGTGCTACCTGACTTAACTGTAAAACTAAGCATGTGAGAGCCCCGATTAGGCTTTGTTATCAGAGGGAAGTATCTTGCTTTGAAGGTCAATGTGCTTCTGGTAAATGGTTATGAACTCTGCAATTATCGAATCCGAGCTTTCTGATTCAGATCTCCCTCTGTGTTCAGCACAACTTGCTTAGTTGAATTTTCTCATTTCTATGTCAGATTCTTGTGGAGAAAAAATGCAAGCTTTGCAATATCAAGACACTACAGGCGCTATGATGTGTTTGTAGAAGCAGATGCTAATAAGGCTGCTTCTAAGTTTGACAATGCTTCCATCGATTTCCAGGTTGACTTCTACAGAAAGGAAGGTCTAACTCCATATACCAGAGCTAAACTTCCTATCTCAAGTGGTTAGTGTGTGATACTTGTGTATCTCATATTTCTTTACTTCTTATGAATCATTCCTTTCCTGCTGATCCCTCCTTAAAATTAGCCATTTTTTGTTTGATAGGCCACTGAGCATACTTATTATGTTTGCAGATGTTCCTGAGGGATGTGTAATTATAAAAGAGCATATTCCGATCTCCAATCTCTTTACTTGTCTTTGGTTTAATGAAGTGGACCGCTTTACTCCAAGAGACCAAATTAGCTTTGCCATTGTGAGAGACAAGATCAGGGAAAAGACAAATTGGACTTTGAATATGTTCTTAGACTGTGAACGGCGAAACTTTGTGATTCAGGTGAGCTTTCTGTCTTTACCTTTTGGATTGAGTTGATTTGTAGTCTCGTTAATAGAATCTGAAAACAAAAGACCAGAATTCATAAAAACAGTTGCTAAAGGTTAACGTGAGTGCCTGATTAGTAGTACTGCTATATATATCTATGGATTATGCAGTTGCTATTGCTTATCCACATATCTGTTAAAGTTTTTCTCTCTCTCTCTGGAATGATGTCTTACTTCCTGTGTGCTTTAGTAGGAAACCCTGGCAATGCTTACTTCAGAAATTCCATTATATGATAGATTGACTAACTGATCGAAATATGATAAGATTAAAAACCTGCCATATTTTCTACTATCTGCAGGGTTATCATAGAGATGTTCTTGAGCGCTGGCCTCCCCCACCTGCATCTGGTGCTATTGCGGTTGTTCATCCTCCAGCACCTGTAATTGATGAAACTCTGCCGAATGTTGTTACTAGTCCAGTCAAAAAGATACCTGCGAAGCGTGGGAGAGAAAGGAAATCCAGACGTCATAGAAAAGTTACTCCGGGTTAGTTAAGATGGTAACCTGTTATAATATTAGTATTTATATTTAGGTAATTCTTATTCCTTCCTTCCCTGAAGTCAAGGACACTGATTATGGGGTTAGGAAGGAACTGTGCAAGATGAGGTTTATAGCTCGAGAAAAGGCGGTATTAAAATTTTCCATCGATTCTTTTAGTAGGTGACCAATTTATTATTTTTTGTTGTACATAATTGAGACTCTAAAAATGTTATCAAATATATAGCCCACTATATATCTACTGAACATAAATTCAAGCTTCCTTGTACTTTTTGCCCCTACAACTGAGAAAGAAGAAATTCACTTTTATGGTGACTTTTGTTATTGATAAGTAGTGCATTGCAAGTAATACATTTGTTGTGCCTAAAAGCTAGTTCTCATGGGACTTTCATGGTTAAATCATTTGATTTGATTTGACGTAAATATCAAGTGTTTTTAATATCATATAAAGGTAAGGAGCACAACAGGGGATATTTTCGCGATATATTTTTTTATTTATTATAACTATGATAAATCTGTTATGCATTATATATATTTGATACTACGTAAGGGGTTGTTTGATAGGTGTATTAGCAAAATTAATGCATGCATTAACTCTTTGTATTGGTAGTGCCTTATTTGGTGCACTTTTTCATGTTAGGTATTAATTATTAATACTTTGCATTAGTTATACACTCTACTATGTATTAGAGAGTGTATCACTAACACAATTACCCTTCAAAACCTCTTGTATATATCTTTTTCATCATAATTGTGGAGGATATTTTTGTATATTACATGTTATTTGAATACACCAACCAAACAATGCATAAGAAATATTTTATGCATAACTAATACAAACATTACTAATGATTTAACATTTTTCTTATACACTCTACCAAACGATCCTAAATGTATTAAAGTATGTGTAAATGTATTATTAATGAATAGTGAATACACTGTTATTTAAAAGTGAGCTAGAAAACAAACTATGAATTCTTTTTCTTTAGTTTGAAAAATAGTGTAAAATTAATTTTAAATTCTCATTAGTCAAATACAAATTTTCAAATAAAATCGATTATTTCCTCAATTTCAATTTACGAGGCAATGTACATCTTTTAAAAAACAAGTAATTTAGGTGTAACTGAAAATTTGCACTTAAAATCTTCAATTTTTTTAAAAATTGAAATTTATGTATTTGTAAATTATATAAAAGTTATTATAAATAACAATAATCAATAATCCAAAATATATAAAAGATTTATGAAAATTTTTCAATCAAAACAACTCCATGACAGAATTGATTTGTTAAATTCCAAATAACCACATGGACAGATAAAGCAAGCAAAGGATAAATTTGTTTCAGAATTTGAG